AACTGTAATGAATCGGAAAGTTACAGAATACACTGGTTGTTGCTATTGTTAGTGGGAGTTTTTTTAGTGAGAGATTTTGCGAAATTAGGATAGTTCGTAGCGTCGAATAAAAGCTAAAAGAAACTATTGTGTTGAGGATTATCTCGGGAGCAATTCTCAACAAGATTTCACACAGACAATCGTATTACAACACAGCATAACACGCGACCATGTAATCTCAAAATCTCCAGATTCTGTCGCTACTAATACATCAATTAAATATTACCCGATACAAATATAAAGGAACACGTGTACAAAAGCGGTTTATACTTTATAGCTTTAACTATGGTTATACACAGTTAATTTAAGCTGCCAAACCGCTTTTATATCTTATTACCGCCGTCAATAAGCACACTTTAAGCAGGTTTTAAAGCTTACTTAGCACCAAACTATGAACTAAAATATAAATATAGTCTCCTAACCTTATCGCTGTACATTTCTATTGTGGTGGACGAGCACCGAATTGAAATCTCTAGCGAGACTGGTTCTGGTGATATAGTTGTGGATAGACTTGGTATGAATAGCGGCTAAAAGCTCTTCGATATATTGATCTTGTATTGAAGTATTGATATGCTTTAAAAGACCTGTGTTCACCATTTCTAGACTGGACAGTCTTGTGTAAACTTATTGCGGGAACCACTGAGTATTTTTACTCAAACATTTTATATTGTCGTCGTACTCGTACATCAATTTAATCTTCGCGGTGAATAAACTTTCCGAATGAGTCAGATGAGGCAAAAAAATGAGCCAATGAGAGAAGAGAATTTGGTCTTTTTCGACCAATCAGAACTTCAAATATTGCGCAAATAAGGCAGACCCCCACGAAGATGAGGCAAAAAAGTTGAACCAATGAGAGAGGAGAATTCTCCTTCAATCAGCCAATCAGATACCTCATAGATGACGTAATAAGGCAGACCCCCACGTAGATGAGGCAAAACCATTCTCGACCAATCAAATGGCTAGAATCTGCCTCAAGTAAGTCAAGGCCACTGAGCTTACAACCCGCTGAATGAAACTTGATAACTGGAGTATTGTAAATATTAATTACATTTGCTATCACTGCAGGAAATATTACAACTGGAGTACTGGACAATTTTATGAATCAGTAATTATCTGCGCAATTTTTACGTTAGTCGCGCAACTTATTTGACAACCCCTAGATCCGCCCTTGTCACAGAATATCTTCCTAGAGCTTCGTGTTTACTGGGAATTGAGGTGTCAGTTTACAGTTTACTGTTCACCATCACCATAGATGCCAAGGTCGTGTTTTGCCCACATGTGAGATGAACACACCACAGTAACCGTAGGGGTGTCCAGGGGCATCCCCCCCGAAAAAATATTTCAAATTTAGGTCTCGGAATGGCATTTCAAGCTTTCTGAGAATAAATTTCCGAGGGGGTGGTCAATAAATTTCCGAGGGGGTGGTCAATAAATTTCCGTGGGGGTGGTCAATAAATTTTCAAGGGGGTGGTCAATAAATTTTTGAGGGGGTGATCAATAAATTTCCGAGGGGGTCTATCGTAATGGAACCAAGTCAACAGGTATTTGAGTTTTTCCAAGGGGCTTGAGAAAATTGGAAATTTTCATGTGGTTTCTACAAAAAATAGAGAATTTCTGAGGGGTCTCCCGAAAAACTGTTTCCGAAGGGGTCTAAAATCAGTAACCTAGTCCCAACAGAGTGTGGATTTTAAATGGAATGGCCCAACAGACTATAGCATTTGCCATTTGATGCACAAGAATCGTCAAAAATATCCACATTTTTGTTCTGCCGCCCTTGTTAGGCTGACTACTTCCCGCTGCCCCACATGAGGACTAAAGGTCTGTTCATGTGGGCAAAAGTTATCCCAGTTAGCGAGAAAACTTTTCGACAAGTTTACAAGCGAGATCTCGCCTTGGTATGAAAACAATATGAAAAGTTACACTGTGTTCATATGAGACAAAAAGTTTTCCTGTGTACTGAGATCTTGCTTGTTGACAGGCGAGATCTCGGTGACCGGGATAATGTTTTTCCCATATGAACACAACTTTCCTGCTTAGCGGGATAACTTTCTGTCGTGTCAGCAACTTTTCAATTCAATTGATGTTCAGTGCTACGTCAGCTGGAAACTTTGTCTTCACCTGGTAAGCGGGATAAGTTTCTTCATATGAACGGAACAAAAGTATTTGGCTGGTCGAAAAGTTTTGTCTTAGATAACTTTTGCCCATATGAACAGGCCCCACACAACACTGTGTGCAAAAGTTTTGAAGACGTCTAAATCGTAAAACTATGAAATCTTACCATTTACATTTAAGGTCAACTCCTCTTGACCTTTTCTAATGCTTTGCTAGGTCTCTAATTACTAACCATTATTTCTTTAATTTACTAATACTATTGCTTTTAATGACAGGTTGTTTTTCATCCTTCCTCTTATTCGCTTATTTGAATACTGTAACCGTTTGAAACTATTTGTATATACAGGTGTATCAAAAAAACTGAACAGATTTGAAATTGCTCTCAATTTTGCAAAACACCTATTTGTATCTGGTTTTTTATATATATAGCTTCTTTGGGTACTTATAATGTAAAATAATGAAAAAAATTTCTCGAACTCAAATTTTGTGAACCAGGGGGGGGTGTCTTTTCCAACAAAATAAAAATGGTTCGCGCACAAAATTTAAAAGCTGTAATAATATTTTGAGTTGATAGATTGAAAATTTGTCGGGTTTTTAATTACTGTACAAAATTTCAGACAATTTGGTTTAGTTTAAGTCCTTTATTCCAGAGTTCCAGAAATTTTTTTCATTATTTTATATTATAAGTACCCAAAGAAGCTATATATATAAAAAAACAGATACAAATAGCTGTTTTGCGAAATTGAGAGCAATTTTAAATCTGTTCAGTTTTTTTTGATACACCCTGTATATAACACACGCTTGTAAATAAGTTTAATTGCTCTGAAGATGTTGTGAACAATACAACGAAACGTTAGCCAATAAATTTTATATTTTGTTATGTCTTGTCTGAAAGTCATTTGCTGGGTTTTAATTTTCATTTTTAAATTAGGTCTGCACCATAGATATCTTATATACACTAGATAGTGCATCTAATTATTCTGCAATTCAAAAATTGAAGCCGTGATTGCAGTCTCAGGTCGTTCCCATGAAATGAGAAGATTCGTATGTTTTCTATTTCCTAAACAGGGAACTTAAACATTAAGTTAACCCTATTCCAAATACGTTTTTAAACTATTCAAATAATGAAAGCTATTGTTGTTTTTAAGAGTTTATTAGCAAGTGGGAACGACCAACATGGCCGCCATCTATTCAAATGGGGGTAACCGCTGGAATATTCTTGGCTTCAATTTTACTAAATGAGATGCGCTATCTAGTGTATATAAGAGATCTATGGTCTGCACTAATGAAAGGTTGATGCAAGTCAATTTTGCAAGTGCCACACATGTGTGTAGGAGATTGATTTGTTGTTGGTGACAATTATCTGACAAACAACACCAATGGGCAAGCCTGGAGTTGCCATGCTCAAACCAATTATTTCCTTTCCATTCAGGCCATTTTATGTACATTGAGGCCTCCAGGAAACCAGCTGGCTACCATGCAAAGCTAGAGAGTCCTGTATTTCAAGATTTGGATGGACGTGACAGTATTTCAAATTGTTTATCATTCTATTATAATATGTATGGATTGGGCATGGGACAACTAAACATCTATCTTGTCTTCATTGATGGTCGCCACGAGCTGCTTTGGAAGACGTCTGGAAATCATGGTAAAGCATGGCATCATGGGACATTTACTTTCACATCCTTTTCCACCTATAAGGTGAGATGCTAAGAATGATTAATTAGTAAAAAATTTCAGAATTTTGGTCAGATGCAAAGGGCGACCGCAGGTACCTTAGGCCAAATAAAAATAATAGTTGGTTTCAGGTTTCCGACAGACCTGTCAAAAATATGACCGATCATAAACATTTTATTGACATTTCCCAGCAGAGATCGTCTTTTCGTAAATATCAGAATATATAAATAGTCATTAGACTTATTTGCTACAAATTATTTTGTTTGCTTATAATTTAATCATTATCTAGTCATATTAATCCTTGATGCGTTTGTTTCTCGCAAAACATGTGTAGCTCCCGGGTGATCCCGCGTGGCACATCTGATTATGCGTGACAGTTACTCATAAACAACTTATATTTATTGCATACTTGAGATAAAATATTTTTTTTAAATAAAATGCTTTTCCGACCTACCTACCCATATAAAACATGACTGTGAAACCTGAAACCAAATATTATTTTTATTTGGCCTTAGGCCTAGCAAATGGGGGATAAAGGAAATTTTTCAAAAATTCAAAAACATTCAAACACCACCTCAAACTAGTCCAAACTTTCTGAAAATTATCGAAAACCTTTCCTGTCATCAAAACAATTACCTTCGTTCGATAAAATATGATTTAAAATATTTTAGTCAGGTGCATAGGGGGGACCAGAGGGTACCTCAGGTCTAGCAAAAGGGGGACCAAAGAAAATTTCTCAAAAATTCAAAAACATTGAAAACTTGCCTCAAACTAGTCCAAACTCTCTGAAAATTGTCGAAAACCTTTCCTATCATCAAAACAATTACTTTCAATTGATAAAAACATGATTTAAAAAGTTTCGGTCACATGCATAGAGAGAGGACCACAGGGTACTTCAGGCCTAGCTTGCTTGCTTGCTTTATTTGGCTTGATAAGCATGAGGAATTTATAATTTATGTAAATCAGTTGATATAAAGTGTAGGCACATGTGAATCAGGGTTGCCAAATTGCTGAATAAATAAGCCAAATATTATTATCATAATCTTTTGTTTTCTTTGTTCGAAACAAAGACATCAAAGGGCCGTTTATAACAATGTTTGGCTTATTTATTCAGCAATCTGGCAACCCTGATGTGAATAAAGTATTACAACATTACTACATTGGCGACGAGGATGGCTGAAAGCGTGTTATCTCCTCCTACGAAGTTCAATATCGAAGCCGCAGATGCATACATAGAATGGAAAGCTTGGATAGAGTCTTTTAATATCTATGCTGTAGCGGTTGAGCTCGAAAAAAAGTCGGATGGTGTCCAAACAGCGACAATGCTGCATTGCCTAGGGCCGGCGGTGCAAAGAATCATTAGAACATTGCCCGGCAAGAAAGAAAGTTTTAAAGAGGCAGTTGAAGCTCTTGAAGGCTATTTCGCGCCGAGAAGAAACGTCGTTGCTGAAAGACACAACACAAGTTTCGCAGTCGAAAACAAAATGCTGATGAGACAATCGATGCATATCTAACGTCGTTAAGGGAATTGATAAAAACGTGCGAATTCGGGGCGCTCGAAGACGAAATGCTAAGGGATCAAATCGTAGAAAAATGCTATTCAAAACAACTAAGAGAAAGACTCTTAGCTCACGAAGAACTAGACCTAGCTAAGACCCTCAGAATAGCAAGAAGTAGCGAAAGCGCCATAAAAGAAGCACGACTCCTTTCTGGTCATGAAACAAAAGACAACATCATTAACATTGACCGGCTGAATAACCCTGACAAGCGAAATAGGAATTACAATAGTGAAAATTTCAAGTGCTCTAGGTGTGGCGGCGTGGGCCACAAGCCAGCAGATTGTCGAGCCATAAGTATGAAATGTAATAACTATCAAAGGTTAGGACATTTTGCTCGCGTATGTCGCTCGAAGGGTGTATCTCGAAAGCCGTATGAATCTCAAAAGACTTCGAGTAAAAAGACGAAAGCGCATAGAAACGTCCGTGCAATTCGACGCAAAGATTCAGATAGTGATGAATCGTGTATTGAAAGCGAATCCGAAGACGAACAGATTCTGTTCATGGAAGGGCAAGACAGTCCTGTCCAGATTACAATCAATGGTCGCAAGGTAAAGATGGTCGCCGACACCGGTTGTAGGCAGAACATTATTTCTTCCCAGTTGTATACAGAGCAGTTCAAAGAACACCCACTCGAAAGCACAACCAAACAGTTTGTGTCATATGGTCAGGAGGTACCGCTAACCTGCCTTGGTCGATTTAAAGCCAGTTTGAAAGCAGGTATGATGACTATTCATAGCTTTGTGTACGTAATTAAAGGCCAAGCCGAGTCGCTGCTCGGGAGAAAAAGTTGTTTTGACTTGGGAATATTCAAACAAGTCAAATTTGTGAAGCAGACTAACTCTAACTCTAAGAAGATTAATGACCCAAGATTGAACTCATTAGTTAATGAATATAATGACTTGTTTCATGGGTTAGGTCAAATTACAAATTATTCGCATAAAATTAAACTAGATCCAAATGTTAAACCAGTAAGCCAACGTCTGCGAAGAATTCCCCTTAGTCAAATAGAGCAGGTTAATGATGAAATTGATAAAATGTTGAAGGATGACGTCATTGAAGAGATACCCGAACCAAGCCCTTGGGTTTCTAATCTTGTAGTGGTGCCTAAGGCATCAGGAGGTTTAAGGGTTTGCTGTGATTTTAGAGAGTTAAAGGGAAGTCAAGTCCATTGTGCGCATCGGTTCTGCGCATAACAATGTGAGGACCTCTAATGTGAAAATTGCCCAAATTTCGAATTTTTTCGAATGTTTCTGAACATAAACTTTATTTCATATTCATTTAGAAGCATAGCAAACCAAAATGGTGTTAGATATTCAGACAGTACATCATATTTTAAAAAATACAGCAGTTCAAAATGTAAACAAACCGTTTGTTTACATTACGGACTTGACTTCCCCTTTAAATAAAGCCATTGTAAGGGAACAATATGTCCTTCCCAAAGTAGAAGACACTTCGGATGCCCTAAATGGCTCAAAATATTTTGCAAAAATTGATGCAAGAAGCGGATTTTTCCAATTAACGCTGTCAGAGGAATGTAGATATTTGACAACGTTTATAACTAGGGATGAGCCGATAAGGAAAATTGCCGATTACTGAGGCCGATTATTTATAAGCCGATTGTAACTAATCGGCCGATTAATAGGTACCCACCGATTATTTTAAAAAGCAAGCGAAAAATCACAAGATGACCAACAATGAAGTTGTAAATGTGGTTTTATTGTTTACAATACGCACTTTGAACAATTAAAAACAGCTTCAGTCTCTCATGTCAATAGTCAAAGTTTAGTTTTGGCAGATTATGGTGTAAAAACAAGGCACTGTCAGCTATGCGGAGCTAGTCTGCTGCTTTACACAAAATGTGGAATCTATTCACTTGTATTCAGTATTTTAGTATGTGATTGGCAGCTGCAGAAAAAGTCTTATGGCCGATTATTTGCCGATTATCAGGCAATAATTGGCCGATTACCGATTATTTAAAAAACGGCCGATTAATCAGCTTTGCCGATTATTTACCGATTAATCGGCTCATCCCTATTTAAGCCTAGTTCTCATTCATCGCAAACTGTCACCGACGATCGGCGACGCTTATCGCCGATACTCGCCGAGCGCGAATGCACGAAAGTTCTCATACATCGGTGATCGTCGCAGATGACAGCCGATGTGTTTCGAAATTTCCCAAATTTCCTACAAAATGGCCCCATTCAACGTAAAGTTCATTATTTCTGTCAAACTTCAATTGATTATTTCCTTGCTTGTAGAGGAAAAAACAACTTTTACTCATTTCTCATAGATTTTTCAAGCAGGTGGCAGTCGGCGATGGTCCCAAGAAACAAACTTTTTTGTTTCCTGCGATGTCATCGCCGATGGTCGGCGACGATTACGGACAATCGGCGATATAATTTTTGATGTGTTCTCATAAATGGCAAGCGGTCGCCGGCGTCGCAAAGCTCCCATCGCCGACGGTTTGCGATGAATGAGAACTAGGCTTTATAACAAACAAAGGCTGTTTTCGTTTCAAGCGTGTTCCGTTTGGGTTCAGTGATATCAGCGAAATTTTCCAAAAAGTCATGGAAGAAATTTTGTTCGGCCTAAGGACTTTGTCTATTATTGAACTTTATCTAGTTATATCTATTAATACTATAATGTTTTAAAAAAAAGAAGAAAAGAAAAAAAAATGTATTATAGAATATATAGGAAGTAGAATAATATTTGGAAATTGTTCCCAGGGGAAGATGTAGTGTATTAGGAATTCATTATTTATAATTTATGTAAATCAGTTGATATAAAGTGTAGGCACATGTGAATAAAGTATTACAACATTACTACACTTATTGTAAGACATTGCTAAAGCTGTAACAGTAGAACAATTAATGTAAATTTACAATAAGCATATAAATGCTTTTTACAATTGAATGGTAACATATTTACATACCGTAATATAAGCAAGTTATGCAAAGGGGGGACCAAATGAAATTTTTTAAAAACATTGAAAAACTGCCTCAAACTAGTCCAAACTTTCTGAAAATTGTTGAAAACCTTTCCTATCATCAAAACAGTTACTTTCGATCGATAAAAATTTGATTTAAAAAATTTCGGTCAGATGCATAGGGGGACCACAGGGACCTTAGCTCTAGCAAAGGGGGGACCAAAGGAAATTTCTAAAAAATTCAAAACATTGAAAAACTACCTCAAACTAGTCCAAACTTTCTGAAAATTGTTGAAAACCTTTCCTATGATCAAAACAGTTACTTTCGATCGATAAAAACATGATTTAAAAATTTTTGGTCAGATGCACAAGGGGGACCACAG